CCCCCCCACACACACACTATAGACCAAAATGCACCCCCACCCGCCAATCTGTTAGGGTTCAGAGGTCGCCCAGCCTTGAATTACTCAGATGTCCAAAAATGCGGGGAGTGGGGGGAGAGAGAGAAAGAGTCCCCCCCATTCCCTACTCCAGGAAGTTGCCCCCCTCCCTGCTCCCACGGGGCTGGGGTGGCGGGTGGGGCTGAGCGCTGGAGCCAGGCCGGTACTCCTGCAGTCCGGCAGGCCAGGGCACAGCCGAGGTGCTCACCTGGGCCTGGGTCTCCCAAGGCGGAGGAGGAGCCCAGCCGTGCTCTCGTCTGGAAGAAGCCCCTCCTGGGTGGCTGCTCCACACCTGGCCCCGCCTCCTCCTGTGCCCAGAACAAAAGCCGTGAGGGGCCTCACCTGCTGCTAAACAGCTCCCCCCCCCCAGGCAGTGGCTCTGCTTCCGCCAAGGGAGGGGAGTGGCTTTTGGGGGGGTGGGGGTTGTGCTGCAGGGGAGGAGGGTCACTCACAGCAGCCCTCCAGCCAGAAAGCCCCCCCACTCTGGCCCACACTGGGGTTCTACTCGGGCCCCCAACATGGAGCCACCAAGCGTGTCCCTGACTGCCCCCCCCCCCAGAACCCCAAGCCAAGGTTTCATTGACAGCACACACACACCCATTCCCCCTCCCTCTGGCTGCCGTCTTCTCACCGGGGCCGCCTCACTGGCCCAGCTCCGAGGACTCGTCCCAGCCAAGGCCCTTGCTTGCTCCCGCTGCCAAGGGAGAGGAGAGAGAAGGAATGCTCGCTCGGGGGAGGGCCCAGAATGCCCTTGGGGTTGCAGGGCAGGCACCAGTTCAACAGGTGCTGGGCTTCAGCCTGCCAACCCTCCTTCAGCCCTGCAGATGAAGCTCCCACAGCCTCCCTTCCCCACCCCAGGATCAACCAAAGGCCCCTGACCCACCCTACTCCCCAGATGTGGAGGGGGGGCCTCATGGGGCTACCACAAAGCACTCACCCGCCGGGCCTCTTCCCACTGGTGCTCTTCTGCCTCCCGCTGGGCCTGCTGCTTCCTGTGGAGGGTGGGGCAGAGCCACTCAGGAGAAGCCCCCACCTCCCACAGGGTGGAGGCAGGTGGGGGGATTCTACCAGTTTGCACTTATTCACTAGAACTGGTTGTTAACATCCTAAGCAGTTGGGAGAACCGGTTGTTAGAAGAAATTACTGGCCTAATCCTGTAAGGAAGGCAGGAAGGAAACATTCTGGTGTTGCTTACAGAAACTGCCTCTCCATAAACCCTTATTACATTCTTGGCAGGACTGGACTTCCTGTCTCAGGAACTTCTCTGGAGTTTTTTTCTCCTCCTTTGCTGGTACTTTGCTTGCATAGAGTGACCATTCAAAGTTACAATGGCACTGAAAAAAGTGACTTATGACCATTTTTCACACTTACACCTGTTGCAGCATCCCCACAGTCATGAGAGGCCAGGTGAGGAGATGCGTGCCGCGATGTGAGTGATGTTGAGTTGGCCACGCCCAACCAGTCACATGGCCACCAAGCCACGCCCATAGAACTGGTTGTTAAACAAATTGAATCCCACCCTGGGTGGGGGCACAGATCTTGCCCTAGTTGCTTCACCCCCTCCCCACCTGGGAATAGCAGGGAATGGCATTCCACCAGCTTCGGGGCACAAGGGGGGGAAGAGGAAGGACCCCCCCCTCCTTAGTTGCCACTAGTGGTCTCTTCCAGGCCAAAAAGCAGATGGAGGCAGGAGAACAGCTGTATTTCATTTAATGGGCATCCTTCAAAGGCCAGGTGTGAATGGTTCTTTGCATCTGAGGTGCTTCTGAGCCGACCGAAGCACCCAGGTGTGGGATTCAAATCTTTTTAACAACTGGTTCTGTAGGCGTGGCTAGGTGGGCGTGGCCATGTGACTGGGTGGGCATGGCTTCTGGTTTTTTTTTTTTTTCAGGGAAGGCGCATCATGGCCGCCGGGGGAGTGGGGGAAGCGAGGGGAGGAAGGCAGAAGGATCATCCGCTGGAAGGGGCCTCGAATAGGAAGGCTGGGCTCTTCCCTTCCAGTGCTTCTCAAGCTTGGCGCCTTAAAGCCGCAGGGATTTCAACTCCCAGAATTCCCCCGGGAAGGTCCTTGCGTCCTCAAGTCGCCAAGCTTGAGAAGAAGGGCCGCCGCGGAGACGATTTCTGTCAGGCAAAGAGAAGCCCCTTTTATTCGCCCAACTCAGCCAGGCCGCGAGAGGGAGGGACCTGGCATAAGGCCCGCCTGCCCACCTGTGCTCCTCGATGAGCCTCTCCTTCTCTTGGACCCGGCGCTCCCGCTCTGCTGCTTCCCGGCGCTCGTCCTCCATGCGCAGGCGCTCCCAGTGCCGCCTCTCCTCCTGGGCTCGCCTCTTCTCCTCCTGGCGCCTCTCCTCCTCTTCCCTCTGAAGGGAGGCAGAGAAGGCAGAATGGCACCCACCCACCCACACATGCTGCAGCCCTCGGCCAGCCCAGCAGGCCCTCGTCCCCCTCACCTCCGCCTGCGCCCAGAAGGAGCTCCTCTTGGTGTGCAAGATCTCCAGCACGGCGTTGGTTTTCTGGTAGTTGGTCCCCTGGAGAGGAGCAAGTGGGTCCCTGAAAGCCTCTCTCAATTGGGGAGGGGGGAACCTCTCTCAGGTGCCCCCCCACCCAGGTACAGCTGCTTAAAGGCAAACAGGCAAGGGGCTCTCCAGGCAGGCAGCCGCAAGGGCCACTCCCGTGCCAGAGCAGTGGGGCACCCAAGCCAGCCTAGTCCCACCTTCACCCGGTTCCTTCTCTGTGCGCTGGGGAGGGAAAGGCGGGGGCTACCTTTTTCCCTGGGAAAGTCCCAAGGGCCCCCAGTCCTCCCTGAGGAAGGGGCCTGGCTACGATTGCCCACTGTCGGAAGCGGAGGGAACACCTGGCCACTGGCCGCTTTGATGAGCTGGGGTGCAAGCTCATGGGGGGAGGGCCTTGCCCACCCCTTCCCTTCCCTTCCTCCTCACCACCAGTTCCTCAGGGTCTCCGCTCAGGTCCTTCTTAGGGAAGGCAGCTTCTTGGGGGGGCTGTTCTGGGGGGGCCACCAGGGACAGCCGGCAGGTAAGCTTTTCCTGGTTCACCTCCTCCACCCGGCTGGCCTTCAGCACCAGGTGGGCTTCCTGCAGAGGGAGAGAGGAGGCAGCAGTGCAGGGATTCCCCCCCCCCAACCCATCCGGGAAGATAAGCTGCCCTCCGTGGGGGGGGGGGGGGAGCTGGCCCCAGATGGAGCCTCCTCTCCTCCCCTTTTCCCCCCTGCCCTCTCATCCACAAAAGAGCCCTCCCTCTACAGGTGATATTCAGCAGGTTCTGACCGGTTCTGGAGAACCGGTAGCAGAAATTTTGAGTTATTGGGAGAACCGGCAAAAGAACCACCTCTGACTGGCCCCGCCAACCCCATCTCTTCTCTGCCTCCCATTGAGTCCCAGCTGATCGGCTGGGTCTCCTTTGGTTGCCTTGCACAGGAGAACGGAGCTGGGAAGTAGGTTAGTGGGGTGGGAAGTGGGATTTTGCAATCTCCTTCCCCTGTCACACCCACCAAACCACGCCCACCAAGCCAGGCCACGCTCACAGAACCGGTAGTAAAAAAAATTTAATCCCACCACTGCCCCCCCCTCTCTTCCCCCACCGTTCAGCTTCCCATTTCTGGCCCAGGGCAAGGAACACGGAGCCACTCTCTGCCTAGAACCCACCTTAAAGAAGGCCCGGATGGCCGGCAGGTGCCCAGCGCAGGCTTCTCGCCGCGAGTCCAGGACTTTCTCGCCGACCTAGTGCCAAAGAGGGAGCCAGGGGCTCGTCTCAAAGACTCCAGCAGGGGCGGCGCCCTTCCAGAAGCCCCCAATTGTTGCCTTCCATGTCCTTTGGGCTCTCCCAGGACTGCCCTCCCCAAAGGTAGAGCCGCCAATGAATTGGAGATGAGGCACAGCCCTCTCCCCACCCCCCGCTTTCTGGACATATCACAGTTCCTGATTGCCACATTCTGGACAGTCCCAGTTCTTTCCAGGCTGAACTTCTGGTGGGCCGGGGATGGCGTGGAGAGGGGGAAAGAAGCCTTCGCCCAGATCCAGCACTCCTTCCTTCCTTCCTTGGGAGGTCATGAGAAAATGCACTCCGCATACGCTCCGTAGAACTGACTCCTCTGGGGGTTTCTCTCGGAGACAGAACCTGCCACTTCTGGGTGGCTGCTGTGGCTTCGTGTCCTTCCGCTCCCACAGAGGCAGTTCATCCATTCTCTCAAAGCAAGGCATCCCCTCCCCGCCCTCCCCCCAAGCGATAGCCTGCCTTTCTCTCCATTCAAGGTGGTGAACAGGGGAGGCGGGGGGGGGAAGTCACGATAAAGGGGGGCCATTGTGAACGAGGGAGACGCTGGGGCTCTTCCTGTCCTGGGAATAGAGCGAGGGTCTTCAAACATGGCAAGTTTAAGACTTGTGGACTTCAACTCCCAGAATTCCTGAGAGCTAACATGCCTTGGAGGAGGAATTCTGGGAGTTGAAGTCCACAAGTCTTAAAGCTGTCAAGTGTGAAGACCCCCTGGAATACGGGGAGGCTGAGTTGCAGGTTCTGAAGCCGGAGCCATCCTGGCTTGCACTGACTGCGAGGCCCAGGTTCACGTCCCTCGAGAGGCATCTGGGCACCATCTCTCTTGCTGGTTCTCCAGCTGCAAGTCCCCACGTGCCGCCTAGCCCCCTCCTCCACTCTCACCCAGTGGATCAGGACGATGCGTGGCACCCCTGCGGTGGGCTCCAAGAGGCGGCACAGTCCATACATGATGCGCCCACTTTGGAAGCGCTTGGCCAGCTCATCGGGGCCGCCTCCTGTTAGGGGGGAGGCTGGGTTAGGCACAGGAGCACCAAGCCCACCAGCTCCTGCCCTGATCCCCCTGCCCAGGGAGATGCCCTCCCTCCAAGGTGGCCAGAATGGAGCTGCCTCGCCTGGAGGCTGATCAGACTGAGAAGGTCCTGGCTGTCCCCCACCCCACCTCCATCTCTGGGGCATCCTGTCCCCCCTGGAGGGAAGGAGGGAAGGAAAGGGAAGGGTCCCCGTCTTACCCCCTGAGTCCAGGAGTTTCAATTCGTTGGCCTTTTCGTAGGCAAAGAGGGCCCTGAATGGGAGAAAGAGGGGGAGGGGTTTGGTATTAGGAACCAGACAGTTTTGCGTTTTGGCTTCCTTGTCTCAGGCTGCCTGGCGCGGCTGCTTTCTCCTGCTGGAGTCGGTGTGTTTGTGCCAGTGGCAGAGGCTGCTTGGGCCCAGCTCCACACTCCCAGCCGTTCCCCCTAGCTGCACTCCGGTCTGGGCACCAGATGAGGCAAGGCAGGCATTCCCACGGCCCTCCCCTTTCGTGGCTGGAGGAAGGGAAGAGACCCTGCCATGAGTCCAGGCCTCAGAGGGTGGCAGACCAGGCTTCCCCACAGGAGATCTCTGCCCCCCAGCCGAGGCAGATTCCCCTGCCAGGCACCCCCTGTCCTTCGGGGAGCATTTCTAAGGAGAGAGGAGGCATTGGGGAGCTTCATTTGGGCCCTTGGCAGGTGGCCTTGCTTCCCCTTCCCCGTCTGTCCCTCTGAGCGGGAGGAAGCACATCCGCTTTCAAACAATGGAAGCGGAGGGGGGGCGCCCTGCTGCAGATTGGGGGGGGGGGAGAGAAGTGTTCCACCAGCCCTTCAGGTGACCCCAGCACACCCCTCCTGCTGTGCTTCCGGCAGCCTCTCTAGGGTGGGATGGCTGCTGAGGGTGGGTGGGAGTGGGCTGGCATCTGATGAAAACACAGCTGGCTCCTTCCTTTCCCTCGGAGGAAGCCAAGCCCCCAGTGGCCCCCTCCCATCCCCTCTCAAATATCTTGCAGATCCTCTGACACAGACAGACAGGCAGGCAGACAGACACACACACACTAGCCTCCTCCTGCCTTCCTGAGGTTGGGCTTGGTTACTGAGCAGGAACAACAGGAGGCCCAGGTGGTGCCAAGCACCCTCCAAGGAAAAGGGGCAAATGCTGGGGCAAATGGGCAGCTCCCGACTCTCCTTCTCCCCATCCTCCCTGTTTCTCGCTCTTGAAATGCCCCCCCACACACACAACCTCACACCGCCTGGGCTCCCACCTCCTGAAGCTGGCACCCCGTGGCAAGAGGATGGACTCAGTGCTGAGCTGAGCTTCTCACAGGGAGGATGGTGGCCCAAGGGGCATGGCGGGCACAGCTGTCACCCACCAGTCTGCCCCAGGCACACAGCACTTTGCCATCCCTTCGCCAGAAGCGCCTGGGGCTTCGGTTGGGGGGTGGGGGTGGGGAAGGGAGAGACTGGCCAAGCTGATGGGAGGCGGCGGCGGCGGCAGCAGCCCAGGGTGGCCCCTGAGCCACCCACGCCCAACTGGAGCAGCTTCCTCGGCCGGTCGAGACTGGCGAGGGCCAGGAGCCGAAGGGGCGAGGCAGGGGGTGGGGCAGGCCGGGGCTGCTTAGGGAGGTCCCAGGATTGCGCTTCTCCCGTCGGCGGAGGGCTCGGGATAGCCGAGGCGGGGGCTTCGGGCCTCCCTTCCAGCCCGGCTCCTTCCCTTTTGGACTCTTCGCCCGAGTTTTACCCCTGGATTTCCGAGGGGCGAAGCGGCTCCGGGGCCGAGCTGCCTTCCAGGGGGCAAAGAGCAGAAGCCGCTACAGGGAGCCAGGCGAGGCGACTGGCGGAAAGGCCACCCGCTGCCCCCACCCCGGGAGCCCCAGCTGGGCCACTTGGCGCTGCGCAACTTCTCTCGCCCGCGAGACGCGCCACGGGATCCTTCCCGGTCCGGGGGCCAAAGCCAAAGCCGAGAGGGAAAGCCGCGCTCGCCCTGTTCTGTCCGGGCCCCGCCGAGACCCCGGAGCTCCGGCCTGCAGAGACCCCCGCCCAGCAGCCGTGCGCCCACCCCATCCGGGAGCGGCGAAGCCGGAGCCCGGCCGCTGAGGTGGGGGGACTCCGCGCCCCGGAGCCCTGGGCGCTGCCCGGGGGAAGGGCAGCAGCGCCACTCACCAGCTGGCGGCCGCTCGGCCGTTCACCACGTCGCTCTTGGCGGCCAGCAGCGCCAGTCGGTGCTTGTCCAGGTCCAGGGCGCTGCTGCCCATCGCGAGACCCCCGACGGCGACGGGCCGCGGCTCCGAGGTGGCGACAGCGACGGCGGGCCGGGAAGAGGCGCCCCCGCCCTCCCCCCGCCTCCTCCTCCTCCTCCTCCTCCGCCCCAGCCCACCGCGGGGAGGGACCGGCGGGACCGCGAAATCGCGGCGGGGCGGGGCAGCACGTCCTGAAAATCCAAGCCCGCGCCGACTTGGGGCAGGGCACCGTCCCCGCGGGGCGCTCACGGGTTTGCCCGGTGGCCTCGCACGCGGGTCTCGAGCGGGATGCCCAGTGGAAGGGGGGCACACGCGCGCGAGGAAGGAAGGCCGGACGGGGCTTGTTCTTGAAATTAAATCTCTGCAGTAGTCGTTGCCTCCGGCGTGGGAAAGTTTCCCCGGGCGTGTCGGACGGACCTTTCCTTGCCCAGCCCTGCGGGATCCACGTAGTCTCCTGAGCCGGGGCCAAGCTGAGGTTGGACAGAGACTGGCGCCCCCCCACCCCGCCGCCGAGCCCCTTTCTGGGTGTGGGGGGGTGGGGGTCAGAAGAGCCCTAACCGTTGGAAGGGGCAGAAACGACCTGCTGCAAACTCTGTTCTTGCCCCCCTCCCAGGAGCCGACCCCCTGAAGCATTGGGGGGGGGGTGTCGCTTTGGGAGAGGGGATCCTGGAGTAGGACCTGCCTTTTCTTGGATGTGTCCCCATTGCTCCCTCTTTCCACCCTGGTGGACACACATCCCTCTGGTTCCTACACCCCTCCTCCAAGAATCCTACTGTAGGGAGAATTCGGGACATTCTGCAAGCCCCCACTCCACCCACCCACCCGGACGTCTGGTTGGCCCTTTTGCAGGCCTGGCCAGGAACCAGCTGCACAGCTCCTTCCCTTTGCCTTATTTGGTCAATTAAACAATCTCCCGAGCACAAAGTCCTTTTACAGCTGCATAGGAGGGGGCCGTTTTCGGATACCTCAGCTCTCGGGTGTTGTTGTGCTGGGTTAGAGGGAGCCCATCTCTGCCCTGGGCTGGAGGAGAACCCTGAAGGCTAAGTTAGGGTCCTCCTTGGAGGCCTGCCAGGTGGAGCCTCCCTTTGGCAACCAGTGCCCGCCCCCCACCTCTTATTCCAAGAATCCCACCCTGGGGGCTATGGAGAAGAAGCTATGGCCGCCGTGGGGTTAGGAGGCTGGCCCAGATGAGATCCGGTTTCATGGTTCCCTAAGATGAGAAGGAGAAACGCCTCTATGCTCTCGGGCATTTAAGGGGAAGCGATCCCAAAGGGATCTTGTCTCAGTTGCAGAGTCTCTTTGGTGGCCCCTTGAGGCTGCTCCTTCATGGCATGCTCCTTCATGGCGTAAAGGAGGAAGGGGCTTCTCCAGGACCCCTACTCTATTCCATCCCCTTCGGTTAGTTGTTTCAGACCACTGCGCTGGTCCCCGGAAGCAGAGAGAGGCAACTGGAGTCACCAACAAATGCTCTTGCACTTCTCCCCTCCAGCCATGGGGGGCGCCCTCTTCTTCCCACAGCTGGGCGATGGAGAGAAGAACCCTCTCCAGCCTCTCCAAGGATGCGCCCACCAGGGATCAGTGCCATGGCCAGAGGGAGGAGTGGGGGTGGTGAAGCGCCCAGGAGGACCCAAAAGGCAGTTGGCTATCCCAGGCCAAGACATCCCGGTCAGACGACAAGGATCTTTCAGGCGGGAAACAGATAATCAGAGTTGGAAGGGACCTTGTAGGTCATCTAGTCCAACCCCCCGTCCAAACAGGAGACCCTACACCATTTCTGACAGATGGCAGTCCAGTCTTCTCTTGAAAGCCTCCAATGATGAAGCTCCCACAACTTCCGAGGGCAACTTCTGTTCCATGGGTTGATTGTTCTCCCTGTCAGAAAGTTTCTCCTTATTTCCAGGTTGAATCTCTCCTTGTTCAGTTTCCATCCATTATTCTGGCCTTCAGGTGTTTTAGAAAATAGCTTGACCCCTTCCTCCTCTCTGTGGCAGCCCCTCAAATATTGGAAGATGCTATCATGTCTCCCGTGGTCCTTCTCTTCACTAGACTAGCCAAGCCCAGTTCCTGCAACAGTTCATTGTATGTTTTAGC